CATTCAACACCCCCTCTCCGCTGCCACCCAATGCTCAAGGCAGGACGGCCACGGCCTCTGACGGAGGCTTCTCGGTGCAGCACCTCTCCCCCCACATTCATTCTTGTTAGCCATCAAAGCAGCAGCAGGAGGGACAGAAGAAGAACAGCCCCAAGGCTCCCCTTGAGCCTCTTCCCGAGGAAGTAAATGGGTGGCACCTGCACGGTCTGGCCTGGCAACAGGGGGGCTGCTTCTGGGCCCGATCCCAAAGTGGGAGGAGAAACCCCCTTCTATCCCCCTGAGCCCAGGACAGCCCAAGGGTGTGTGTGTCAGGGAGCCTCCCTACCTGTTCCAGGTCTTGAAGGCATTGCTGGCACGCTTGAAGAGGTATCCCTCCATGACGATGCCCCTGGCCACGTCCACGTTGTACTCCAGCTTGGCTTCATCGCTGGAGAAGTCCTGGCGGAGGCAGAGGGAGGGAGGGAGGGAGGCCTCTTTCAGGACAGCCAGGGGCAAAGGGAATGGCACACACAGCCCACCTCTCCCCGGTCCGTGAGGCCAGCCAGAGCTTCACAGAATCTCTAGGGCAGCCACGGAGGAGGGTCAGCCTTGCCACAGAGCTGCCCCTATGGCTCGTTGGCTTCTGAACCGCAAATGGGTGGCTGGGAAGGATCATTCTTTCTCCCTGGTGCACTGCAACAAGGATGCCATGAAGGCTTGGGGAATGTACTAAAAGGACTCTCTTTGGCGGACAGGCAGCCACTCTGCCAGGGCGGAAGACTCTGAAGCCACAGAGGGGCCAAGCCCCGCATTCTGTCTGGACCAGGCAACACTGTGTGTCTCTGGCTGCAAGGCTGCCCGAGATTTCCTTCCAGGGCTCTTTCCCCTTCCAAATTTCAACACGGTGAGTGCAGGAACCCATTCTGTTGCCACTTTGTACCAGGGACAGGAGAGCTGGCTACAAGGCGGACGCCTGGCTGGCCATCAGAGGAGAGGCTGCTGCAACTGCACTTGGCAGGCGGCCCATGGCCCTGCAGGATCGCATGGCAGCAACCCAGGAGGAATGGCTCCTGCAGGCATTCAGCAGGGCCGGCTTGTCCTCTCCTTCCCAAGGGCCACAGCGGAAGAAGGGCCTCCCCTCTGAGCAACGGGAGACCTTGCCAGGAAGATGCCCCTGCTGACCAGAGCAGAGGGCATCCCCAGCCCTGCCTGGCCCTGATTCCAAAGCAAAGGGCCACACGAGAAGCGGGCACTGGGCGTCTGGCCTCGCAGTCAGTACCTTCTGCTGAATGGTGGAGTGCTTCTGCTCCATCTCCTTCTTCTCCTTTGCAGCATCGACAGCCAGGCGCTCCAGCTGCAGAGGGGGAGACAAGACCTGTTCAGAGGAGGAAAGGGGGGAAGGGGCTGCCCACACACCCTAAAATGCCGCCCCTCCCTCACAGCCCTGGGCCAAGCAAGGCCTGTGGGGGCCCAGGGGCCGGCCGGCCTCTCTCCTGGCACTCTGCCTCCCAGGATCAGCCCAGAGGCAGGCAGCGATGAGGCTGCATCTCAGAGGAGCCGGCAGGGAAAGGATGACTCATTGTGGCCGAGCTGCCTGGCCACCTCTCATCACCCAAGCTGTGCTCCTGAGAAAGGGAAAGGTGCCCGTTTGTGCCAAGAGAGCCACCTGGGAGAAGCCCTTTCCCCTTCCGCATGGACACACTCCCAACCTGCAGCCCTCTGACAGGGACAGGCTTGGCCCCAGGCGCACAGGCTTCCCCGTGAGCCGTCTTTCCTTGGGACCACCTAGCAATGGCTCCCAAGTGATGGCTAAGGGGCAGGGGTCACTTCTCAACTGAAAAGTGACTGGCTGGGCAGTCAGACAGGGACAAAGCCCAGGATACCCAATGGTTTAATCAGGATGTGAGCAGCGAAGGCAGAGAGACCCTCTATAGGCAGATGCTGCCTCCTCCCCCATCTGTCCCCTCCCTGGGTCGTACTCTGCCACCACCACCCCCCCCACCCCCACCCCCCCCCCGGGCACATGGGCCTCCTCACCTGAGCCCCCAGACCCTTCATGTAGGGCCCGAGTTCACTGAAGAGGTCGTAGCCTTGATGGAAGAAGGCCAGGTGGGCATACATGAAGGAGAGCATCTGGGGAGAGAGAGACACACACAGCGGGGAGTGAAGGAAGGGAGGGAGGGGCCTCCAGGAGCAGCCCCCAACCCCAGTTGGCAACACACAACCATCCCTGCCAACTTGACAGAAGAAGCCCCCCTCCAGCAGTGCGAATCTGCGACCCCTTACAGGGGTGTCTGCAGCGATAACCAGCTGCACTCCAAGAATCACTTCTACTTTTGGAAGCAAGAAGCCTTGTGGCTGCCCAGCTCTCAAGAAAGGAAGCCAGGGCTGAAAGGCATTTAAGGGTCATGAAGGTCTGCCTAAGAAAATTCAAATGCCCACCCCCCTTCGCAAAACACTTGACTTCCAGGGTGCACAAGGCACCCATTCTCTCCTCACAACCATCTTGCAATGTAGGCTGCTGCCTGGCCCCCAAAGCCTCAAAGACACGTATTAAGACTGCAAGGAACCCTCTGAGGTGGAAAGTCAACAAGGCGAGAAGGGAGCTGTGCCACGGCAGTGCAGCAATGCCAGGCACAAGGTTCAGGCAAAGCAACGGCAGCACCGCAGGGCTGAGGAAGGGAGAGGGCAGGCCCCCTGGGCCCATAGCCTGGCAACTTCACTTCACTTCACTTCTTAATTAGTCACTCTCCACCAAGGTGCTCCGAGTGACTTACAATTTAAAATAGCATTTCACAATATGAAAACATTCAATAGTGACTATTTGGCAAATTAGACCTGATTACTTAAATGCACAACTGATGCACAACTCATTCTGAAATGGCCAAAGAGGGGAAGGCTCAAAGGCCACGGGATTTCTGTTGGCAGACTGCGCACAGAGTATTGCGTCCTGTGCCTCCGTTGCCCCAGACCCCACAGCCCCCCTCCCACCCCCAAAACAAACCTGTAGTCAGGAACCAAAGCGGCTTCCCCCCAGAGAGAGACTCACCGACTTCAGGATCTCGGACCTCCTCTTGGACTGGAGGACATTAATCTGAGGGACAGAGATGGCTTGCTTCAGGTCCTGAGGCCTGGAGGGGGGCAGGGGGAGACCCAAAGCAGCACCCCCTCCCCCAATCCGCCCCTCTCCTGGGGGCTCACCTGGAGGACGTAGTCGAGGGCCACGTGGCGGAAGCACTTGCGTGTGGCGGTCAGTATGTGCGTGGCCTCCTCCACCTCGTGCTGCTTGTTCCGCGGGGCCTGGGCGTTCTTGGCCAGGGCGGACTCCTTCTCTTCGCTGACCTTCTCAAACTGCTTCTTGGCCTCTTTGAATTTCCTGATGTCTCTAGAGCGCCAAGGAAGCCAGTCACCCCTCTGGGGCCACCCCCCTCCGCCCTCCGCAGAGCCGCACCGTCCAAGCACTTAAGCTGGGAAGCCTCCTTCTAATGGAGTTCTGCCTGCAACGCTCTACCACAGGCCCAAGTGCCTTCCTTTGGGGGGAGTCGGGTTGGGGAGGGAGAACACGCATGTGCTCAAAAAATGTGTTACTGTAATTGTGAACTATGATATTTTACTGATTGTATGTGTTTTTATACATACAATCCGGGCTGAGTCCCTCAATGAGGTGAGAAGGTCGGTATATAAAACTTTGAAATATAAATAAATAAATAAATAAAAAGAAACGCAGGAGAGTGTTTATTTCTGGTGCGGGTTAAAAGAATGGCTATGAAGAGGCTGTTGCCTCTGAACTCGGTGAGCAGAACACGGGCCAAAGGCAACCCTTGGGCTTCAAGACCCACGTGAACTTCCCACTGCGGCCAAACCACCTGCTCCTTCCCAGGAAAGGAGATCCAGGGCATAGCAGACCTCACAAGCCCCCCCCCCCCCCCAAAGGCAAGGGGATCAGGGATCTTGACCCCTGGGGCCTGTCTTTGGGAAACTTGGCAGGTCCCGCCCCACCCCTCCTCCTCCTCGGCCTTTTACTCAGTACAGCAGAGGGAGGGGGGCAGGCCCCACGACTTACTCTTTCACGAACATCTGCAGCTGGGCTCTAATGGACCTCTGGGTCTGGTCCAACAGGATCTGAAATGGGGAAAGAGCTTGGTTCAAACAGAGACCCCCTCCCCCTCCCAATGTCCTCATCTCTAGAGCCCCGCTGGCCCTCCTCAGGGCTCCAGGCAAGTCTCCCTCACTCAGAGGGCCACAAAAGAGCGCCTCAGAGAGGGGCCACCACCCTTCCGCCCCACCCCAGCCCCCCTGCAGGACCCAAAAGAAGATTCCTGGCGCTCTCCCAAAACTTCAACCCTCGTTTAGCAAGAAGGCAGCATTACTTGTGGGAACAAGAGAGAGAGAGCCTTCTCCACTGTGGCCCCCGTTACCTGATGCGATCAGGCAAGCCCCTACCCTAGCAGCCTTTAAGAAAGATCTAAAAACTTGGCTCTCTGAAAACACTCTTTTGGGGAGTGAGCATTCAACTCATCTGTTTGTCTCCATCTACAGTTGTCTCATGATGCACTTTTCCCTGTCCTAATAAGGTCAAACCCCACTGCTCCTCCTTCTTGGGCTCCCCCTTCATAAATACACTTTTCCTATTTCTATCTCATCTAGGGTCTTAACATTTTATCTCGTGCATCTGCCCCGCCCTTTGTATTTGAATTTTATTATGTTATTTTGCACTGTTTACTTTATGTTGTTGTTTTATGTATTTTGTTGTGATGTAATTTTTCTGTTGCTTTGTGTTTAATTATGCTGTATTATTTTTGGGCTCAGCCTCATGTTAGCCGCCCTGAGTCCCCTTCAGGGAGATGAAGGCGGGTTATAAATAAAGTTTATTATTATTTATTAGTATTATTACTGTCGTGTTGCAGAGGTAGATGTGCATTTGGCTTGGGAGGTCAGCCTCACAACCCTCAACCATGATGGCCAAAGAAGGACTATGGAAGCCATAATTCATGCCCCACAAGGGGCTTCGGGCTCCCCACTGCTGCCTGAACAGGAGGAGGGAGACCTCATGGGAAATGCTCCCACCGCAGCCTTACAGGACAGCACTCTTCTTGGAGGCTGAATGGCCATCTGCCAGGGGGGCTTTGATTGGGCTTTTCCTGCATGGCAGAATGGGGTTGGAGTGAATGGCCCATGTAGTCTCTATTACTCTATAATGTTATGAAAGCTTGATTCCACAACCCCGCCATAATGAGCACATATTATCTGCTTCTCTCTTTTATCTCGCCCGGGTTTTTAATTAGTTTTAATCAGTTTGTCTTTTAATCATTACATATAGCCCGCCCATTGTTACGGTGCCTGTGCCTATTGTAATTTTTACATTGTTATCTATCCATATGTTTTATGTAATTATGATGCTATTATTTATCGTTTGCATTTTCGGTTTTGTCTTGGTTTTTCTTTATTGTAATTGTTGTTTCAGGCTTGGCCTCATGTAAGCTGCTCCGAGTCCCCATTGGGGAGATGGTGGCAGGGTATAAATAAAGATGATGATTAATAATAATAATAATAATAATAATAAATAATAAACGTTATTGATACCCCGCCATCATCTCCCCAAAGGGACTCAGGGCAGCTCACAGAAGCACTACATGTGCTGAATGTAAAATGAACAATACATAAACATATAGACTAGATTAGCATAAACTTACAACAGCAACCATACATAAAATGACACATAACAAAATAATTAAAATTCATAAAATGTAGTAATGCTTTTTCTCATTCCCACTTAAGGGCCTGCCACCTTCACCAAAAGGATCCCCCCCCCCTCCTCAAGGGGCCTCCTTGATTGGGGGGAGGGGAAAGAGGTGACACAGGAAGGAAGCCTGAAAATTTGGGGGGGGGGTGTCATTAAGAAGCTTGCAACCTTCTTGAGGAAGCTAGAAAGCAAGAAGCCCCAAACCGTGGCTCACGAAAGAAGGAGCTCTGCAGTTTCCAGATGGGCAGCCAAGGCAACAGGAACGCCGTGCCAAGCCACGTCCCACATTCCAGGAAGCCAGAGAAAAGCAGATCTCTCTCACACATACAAAGATATCTATATTCCCCAGGAAACTACAAAGCTGTTTTTTGTGGGCGTTCCACTTCATTGGGTCCAGGTGTGTCCCAGAAACAGAGGGAACTCTCATTGTCTCCCCTTTGGGATCCACAACATGCTGGCCAGGTGAAGCCAATTCCCAAACTCACCGTGTGATAATTGATCATCTCTTGAAGGGTGTCTGAGAACTTGGTGAGGCTGCCCTGGAAAGAAGAGAGGGAAGGAGGGAGAGACATTGAGAGGACGGATGGGCAGGAGGGCCAGCTAAAAGCTGATAATCCACCGGGAGGGGTGCTGGGTGTCCTGCATTGCCCTCTTCTCTGGACCCCCCTCCCCCCAAGAGGCCACCAAGCAGCACAGAACCATTTGCCAGAAGAACCAAAGGCTGGAGAAACAGCTCTGTGGGCCTGGAGGTGTGTTCACTTCACAGAGGCACAAACTGGGCAAGGACGCTCTATTGACACCCCACTAAGAAGCCTCCAAGAGACCAGACGCCCACTCCCCTTTCTCCTTTGGGAGGAGGAGGAGAGGAGGGGCAATTTCTGCCAAGGAGGGAAAAAGAGCCAAAGTGCCCCTCTAAGAACAGCTATTGGCTGGAGACATTTTGGAAGGGAGATTCCAACAGGGGACGGTCAAGGCTTTGAGTGGGGATGACGTGGGCCCAGGGGCGGCTTCGGGGGTCCCACCATGCAGGTAGGCCCTGCGTTGCAACCTGTGTTTCTGAGGAGAGTGCTAAGCTCGGACCAATCTGGGCCAGGAGGGACCTGCATTCACACCCAGGGGCCCCGTTTTGGGAAGCCAGCCCCGCCTCCCAAGCCCCCGCCTCCCCTTCCTGGCCCCACCTCCACCAGGGCATCGTTCTTGGAGTACTGGGCCAGGTCCACAATGCCATGGGTGAACTGCTTGTTGGCCGCGCAGAAGGCTTTCCCCGTGTCAATCATGGCAATGCAGAGCTTCACTAACTGGGGGAGGGAGAGAGGGAAAGAGAGAGAGAAAGAGAGAAAAGGCAAGGGCCACAGGTCAGTCACGGACCCCTTGAGTCTGCAGCCAAGCCCTCCCTCCTGCTGACCCTTGGGCTGGCCACCCCTGAAACCCACAAGGCCATGGCCTTACTGGGCTGTGGCTGCATGCTGTCCAGACTGGATGTAGGGAGGGACAGGGCAGGACACCCAAGGCCGATGGTGTCACCCCACCCCTGACAACCCCCACCCCTTGAAAAAGCAGCCGTTGCATTTGCTCACCTTGTCCAATTTCAGTTCTAGTTCCGTCACATCTCCTTCCACATCCTCAAGCGCAGCCCTGCAACGTGAAACACGGTCAAATACCACAACATGGACGCTTCTGCATTCCGCCCTCACAGCAAGCATTTCCCCTCCTTGAACAGTGGTGGAACCCCTGAACCACAGAGTGGGAGGGGGTCTCAAGGACTATCTAGACCAGGGGTCCTCAAACTAAGGCCCGAGGGCTGGATACGGCCCTCCAAGGTCATTACCTGGCCCTCACTCAGGCTCAACCTAAGTCTGAAATGACTTGAAAGCATGCAACAACAACAACAATCCTATCTCATCAGCCAAAAGCAGGCCCACAATTCTCATTGAAATACTAATAATTTTATATTTGTTAAAATTGTTCTTCATTTTAATTATTATATTGTTTTAAGTGGTTTTTGCACTAAAAATAAGATATGTGCAGTGTACATAGGACTTCATTCGTGTTTTTTTCAGATTATAATCCGGCCCTCCAACAGTTTGAGGGACTGTGACCTGGCCCTCGGTTTAAAAAGTTTGAGGACCACTGATCTAGATCTACCCCTGCCAGGGAGGATCCTACCACCCAAACACAACATACAATCAAAGCACTCCTGACAGATGGCCATTCAGGCTTTTAAAAAAACCTTCGAAGGAGGAGACTCAATCACCCTCTGAAGCAGGATATTCCGCCGTTGAACAGTCCTTCCTAATTTTAAGATGGAATCTCTCTTTCTGCAGGTCAGACCCACTGCTCTGTGTCCTAATCTCTGAAGCAGCAGAAAAGAATTATAGAATCCTAGAGTTGGAAGAGACCTCCTGGGCCATCATTCAGTCCAACCCCATTCTGCCCAGAAGCAGGAATATTGCATTCAAAGCACCCCTGACAGATGGCCATCCAGCCTCATAGAATCCTAGAGTGGGAAGAGACCTCCTGGGCCATCATTCAGTCCAACCCCATTCTGCCAAGAAGCAGGAATATTGCATTCAAAGCACCCCTGACAGAGAATCATAGAATCAAAGAGTGGGAAGAGACCTCCTGGGCCATCATCCAGTCCAACCCCATTCTGCCAAGAAGCAGGAATATTGCATTCAAAGCACCCCTGACAGATGGCCATCCAGCCTCATAGAATCCTAGAGTGGGAAGAGACCTCCTGGGCCATCATCCAGTCCAACCCCATTCTGCCAAGAAGCAGGAATATTGCATTCAAAGCACCCCTGACAGATGGCCATCCAGCCTCATAGAATCCTAGAGTTGGAAGAGACCTCCTGGGCCGTCATCCAGTCCAACCCCATTCTGCCAAGAAGCAGGAATATTGCATTCAAATCACCCCTGACAGATGGCCATCCAGCCTCTGTTTAAAAGCTTCCAAAGAAGGAGCCTCCACCACACTCCGGGGCAGAGAGTTCCACTGCTGAATGGCTCTCACAGTCAGGAAGTTCTTCTCATGTTCAGATGGAATCTCCTTTCTTGTAGTTTGAAGCCATTGATTCGCATCCTAGTCTCCAGGGAAGCAGAAAACAAGCTTGCTCCCTCCTCCCTGTGGCTTCCTCTCACATATTTTATACATGGCTATCATATCTCCTCTCAGCCTTCTCTTCTTCAGGCTAAACATGCCCAGCTCCTTAAGCCGCTCCTCATAGGGCTTGTTCTCCAGACCCTTGATCATTTTAGACGCCCTCCTCTGGATGCATTCCAGCTTGTCAATCTGGTCTTCAATCTGGTATCCCTTCCTTTAAATATTTAAACATAACTTTATCTAATGCCCATCTGACCAAGGTTTAAAGACCCCCAAAGGAGGAGACTCCTCATCCCCTGAGGTGGTCCATAGGCCATGATGAAACAGCTCTTATTGTAGCAACATTTAGGTGGAATCTCTTTCCTTGTCATATGAATTCCTTGGTTTGTGTTCACTCCTGTCAACTACACAGCATCCCATCAGGGATTTCAACATGATTATGAAGCAATGATTTTGGACTCCCAAAATGAGAGAATTGTGTAGAATCGAGATATGAAAGCAGCACACCATCATCTTATTTTGGCCATGGCTCTAGGCAGCCATGACATTCACCTCCACATCAGCCACTTTCAGCATCAGACACTCAGCCCATCCATTCACTCAGCGCAGCAAAAGGCAAGGCAAGGCTATGATGACAGTCACAAGGAATCCAGGACCATGCTCAGAATTTATGACCACAGTTTCACTTTGCTGCGCCCAAGGAAACACAATCTCTGTAGGAATGTGCCAAGTACTTCAGGTGATTCTGTGGCAGGGATGGGAAAACTTTGGCTCTCCAGGTGCTTTGGACTCCAGCTCCCCTTATGAACCATCTAGGATGTTAGAATTGTCTGGGGAGGCCCTGCTCTCAGCTCCATCTGTGTCACAAATACATTTGGCGGGGACGAGAGACAGGGCCTTCTCAGTGGTGGCCCCTTGGCTATGGAACGCCCTTCTTAGGAACATTAGATGAGCTCCCTCCGTTTTGACTTTCCGAAAGAAAATCAAAACCTGACTGTTCGATCAGGCGTTTGAAAAGGCAATGTAACGGACATAGGGATATGGAACAATCGGCCTATGAGATTGGATTACGTTTTTATCTTGGAGATGAAATGATTTGGTTTTACTAATGTGTTAAGGTCTTAATTGATGTGTAAATTCCGGCCCAGTGTATCTGTCCGAACGGATCTCCCTCTACGTCCCACCCCGGAGCCTAAGATCTTCTGGGGAGGTCCTGCTCTCGACCCCGCCTCTATCACAGGTGAGATTGGCGGGGACGAGGAGCAGGGCCTTCTCGGTGGTGGCCCCCCGCCTGTGGAATTCACTCCCCGGGGAAATCAGATCTGCAACTTCGCTCCTTTCTTTCAGGAAAAAACTAAAAACATGGATCTGGGACCAGGCATTTGGACAAGTGGGCAAATAAAGAAAGAACTTCATTGATGGCTAGGAAATGACTAACGGATTGGACATGTGGAACTCTGGAAACGAAACGCTGATTATAAGAATGACTTTTATATGATGTTTTATATAATGTCTTATGTACCGGTTGTTGATGTTTTAATTGTGGTAATCGTTTATATTTTAATTAATCGTGTATATTTTTGTATATTATGTGTAATTTTGTATAGGCATCGAATTCTGCCTTTTTTGTAAGCCGCCCTGAGTCCCCCTCCGGGGGTTGAGAAGGGCGGGGTAAAAGTACCAGAAATAAATAAATAAATAAATAAAATGCTTTAAAATGTTTTTATGATGTTGTTGGCATTGAATTGTTGCCTTGTGAACTCTCTCAAGTCGCCTGCGGGCTGAGAGGGGCGATATAAAAATGTAGCAGATAAATAAATAAATAAACTCCCACAATGGTGGGGGTTGGAGTCCAAAACACTGAAGGGAGGGCCAAAGTTGGCCCATGCCTGTTCTATGTATGCTTGCCCTGAGAATTAGTGGATAGTTGAACTGGACGACCTAAGACATGACGACCTAAGATGACCTTCATGAGGCCAGGCCAAACACTTGAACCAAGAGCAATTGGGTTAGGGCTGCATTGCGTTAGGGTTGGGGTCTGCAGCCCAGGCCTCAGGGGCACAGCCAGGCAGTCAGGGGGCCCAGTTCCCCCACCTTCCTTATTTCCTTCTTTCAAATATTGGGGGGCCCTCTGCAGCTGCAGCTGCTCCCTCCTTTGTGTGCAGTGGGGCCTGGTCTCCTTGCAGAAAGCAACACAAGGAACTGCAGGGCTCACGCCAAAGACGCCGATGGTGATCCTCCTCGGTGTCCCTTCCCTCTCAAGGCGCATGAAGTGACTCATCTAGGAAACCCAAGCTCACCACAAAGCAGGAAGGGCGCTTGCCTCCGCTCGGGTGGCCAAAAGGCAACATCCTCCCAAGTTCCAGAGGCAGAAGCAGCTGTGTCACATTTAAGCCATTGGTTCGGGTGCCCCACCCTTGGCACCCGGCCCCTCCAGAAGGCCAGGCGGGCACCAATGGGGACGGAGGGGGCCTCCCCAAGAAACGTCAAAACAAAGCAAAAAGGGAGGAGGGCTGGACTGGCTTGTTGCCAGGAGGGAGGGGCCTCGGGACCCTAATTACACTCTGTCACATGATGTTTACTCCTGGGTTATAAATGTCATTACTAATTGATTCTATCATAAAAGCTGGGAAAAGTTGATTAAACTGCAAAAACTTTGTCCTTGAGGAAGGGACATCCTGCAGCACGTTATACTATATTACTGTATTATGATTATATAACTATATTACAATTGTATTATTCTATCCTATTCTAGTATGATAATATCTTACACGATGTAACACAACTTTTTGTTGAAGGCTTTCATGCTGGAGTCATTGGGTTGTTGTGTGTTTTCCGAGCTGTTTGGCCATGTTCCAGAAGCATTCTCTCCTGACATTTCGCCTGTATCTATGGCAAGCATCCTCAGTTGTGAACCTCTGAGGATGCCTGCCATAGATGCAGGCAAAACATCAGGAGAGAATGCTTCTGGAACATGGCCAGACAGCCCAGAAAACACAAAACAACCCAGTAACACAATTTCGTTCCTCGGTTATAAATGACATTTAAAAACATGGGAAATTGTTATTATTATATTTATTTATGCCCCGCTTTATCTGCCCTGAAAGGGGACTCAAAACGGCTTAACATAAAAACTTTAGCACAGCATTAAAATATACAAATATTAAAACAGAATTAAATACAAACATTATTAAAAGATTCACAGGGAAAGGCTTATTAAATTGCAAAAACTTTGTTCTTGCAGAAGGGATATCCTGCAGCACATTACATTACAATATTATATTTATATTATTGGATTACAGTTGTATTATATTATTATAATTTACGAGCCATCCCCTGCCACGTGTTGCTATGGCCTAGTCTGTGTATATGTGTTTTATGTGTGTATTTAGGCATATATGTGTATGTATATATTTGTGTATATGTGTATATATGTGTGTTTGTGTATATATGTGGTTTTGCGCATGCATTGTAATGCATTTTTTTTTTTGTTTTTTGGCTTTTTAAGTGTCTTCTGCTGTGTATTTCAGTGTTTTTATGAGTGATGGTCACTCATTGGCGTGGTAGGTATATTGTGTCCAAATTTGGTGTCAATTCGTCCAGTGGTTTTTGACTTATGTTCACCCCACAAACTAACATTACATTTTTATTTATGTAGATTACACTGTGTTACACAATGTTTGTTCCTGGATTGTAAGTATTTCCTAATTGGTTCTATCAGAAAAACACAGAGAATTAGATTACAATTGTATTATGTTATTATAGTATATTACACTGTGTTGCACATTTTTTTTCCTGGTTTGAAAGTATCATTTCCTTCTATCATAAAAACATGGAGAAAGATGATTAAACTGCAAAAGCTTTCATTCTGGAGGGAGGGAAATTCTGCAGAAGCCCCTTTGGCTCTAGTTTGGCAATGAAGTTTTTGGATGATCTGGCAACATTGACCAGGCATGGGACTAATTATGTTGTATTATTTTGGGTTTGGCCTCATGTTAGCCACCCTGAGTCCCCTTTAGGGAGATGGCGGCGGGTTACAAACAAAATTATTATTATTATTATTATTATTATTTGAAACACATCAAGATGAGTCCACAGCAGACACTCTGCCGACTGTTGTATTGGATCACACGTCGGACCCTTCCCAAGTGTCTAGGACTGTGTGATGTATCGGCGCCAATTGTGTTTAAGTGCAGGCTAGGGTCTTGAGGGACTGCACCCAGTGTGTCGATCATCACTGGGACCACCTTGACTGGTTTGTGCCAGTCTTTGCAACTTGATCTTTAAACCCTCATATCTTATCAGCTTTCCTTGAATTGGCCCTGCCTAGTGAAATTCCTTGTGTTTTGATTTTATATTGACGTGTTATCTATTATATTGGTTTTTGCATTTTATGTTTTTGTGTAAGCCTGATTCCACAACCCCCACTATAATGAGTCCTCATCCGCAAATAATCTGTCTCTCTCTTATCTCGCCTGAGTTTTAATTAATCAGTCTCTCTTTAATCATTACATGTAGCCCGCCCATTGTCATTGTGATTGTGCCTATTGTAATTTTATATTGCTATGTTTTATATAATTATGTTGTTTGTGTTTTCGGTTTTATTTTATTGTAATTTGCTGTTTGGGCTTGGCCTCATGTAACGCTCCGAGTCCCCATTGGGGAGATGGTGGCGGGGTATAAAAAAAGTTGTTATTATTATTATTATTATTATTATTATTATTATTATTATTATTATTATTATATTGATGGATGTGGTCTTATGTAAGCCACCCCGAGTCCCCCTGGGGGAGATGAAGCGGGGCATAAAGTTTTATTATTATATTATTATTATTATATTATATAATATAATGATCCCATAGCACTTTGTCCTCCAAAGCACTTTATATTGTTTTAGGTCTGCTTGTATGTTTCCACAAACCGCCCCATCACTTTTTTGCCCATGTCCAGCATTATTTTTAATTTTAATTACATTTGGCCTACCCATAGATTTTAAAGTGTGTTGTCCTATTGATAATGCTTATGTTATTGTTTTATTGTTTTTAAATTGCTGTTTTGTTGTTATTATTGCTTGTATTGTTGTATTTTGGGCTCAGCCTCCCCTGGGGAGATGGTAGCAGGGTAAAAATAAAGTATTATTATTATTATGTTATATTTTCCAGTTGTTTCTTGTTAATCCTGCTCTCGCCTGGATTTGCAATATTGACAATCCATAGTAAAGGTAAAGGTTTTCCCCTGACATTAAGTCCAGTCATTTCTGACTCAGGGGTGCGGTGCTCGTCTCCATTTCTAAGCCGAAGAGCCGGCGTTGTCCATAGACAACTCCAAGGTCATGTGGCCGGCATGACTGCATGGAGCGCCATTACCTTCCCGCTGGAGCGGTACCTATTGATTGTGCCTGTTGTTTACTTTGCTTTATTCTGTTTTTAATTGTTTGATTTGCTTAGAGAGTATTGTTATGTTGTGTTGTTGAGGCCTTGGCCTGTGTAAGCCACATCGAATCCTTCGGGAGATGCTAGCGGGGTACAAATAAAGTTTAATAATAATATTAATCTACTCACATTTGCATGTTTTCGAACTGCTAGGTTGGCAGAAGCTAGGGCTGACAGCGGAAGCTCACGCCGCTCCCTGGAATCGAACCTGCGACCTTTCGATCAACAAGCTCAGCAGCTCAGTGCTTTAACCCACTGTGCCACCGGGGGCTCTTGACAATCCATACATCATCATCATCATTATTATTATTATCCGAACGGATTCTCTCCTACAAACCATCAAGGTCCCTAAGATCGTCCGGGGGGGCCCTGCTCTCGGTCCCACCACTGTCACAATCACGTTTGGTGGGGACGAGAGACAGGGTCTTCTCGATGGTGGCCCCTCGGCTTTGGAATGCCCTCCCCCTGGAGATTAGAACCGCACCCTCCCTCCTGACGTTCAGAAAACTAACAAAGACCTGGCTTTGGGATCTGGCCTTTGATAACTGAGTCAATGTGGGCTTATATGGAAGGAGCACGACTAACTGTGAACTACGACTAATGTTCTGACGACCTGGCTTTTATCTATCTGTGATGTGATGATGTATATTGTATACTGTTCATTGAAATATGTTTTTAATGTTTTTTGATAATGCATTGTGTGTTGTAAAATTGTATTTGACACATGTTGTGAACCGAATCTGAGTCCCTCTCGAGGTGAGAAGATCGGTATAAAAAACCCCTAAATAAATAAATAAATAAATTATGGCTCCACTTCAGCCTTGTCTCCAGATGTTTTGGACTCCAATTCCCAGCATTCCTCGCAGCCTCAGGCCCCTTCCTTTTCCCTTTCCTGGTTGAGGGGGCAAAGGAAAGAGCCTGAGGCCGTGAGGAATGCTGGGAGTTGGAGTCCAAAACACTTGGAGGGAGGGAGGGAAGGCCCAAGTTGGCCCAGGCCTGGTGTAGACTGCTCTAATAACCCAGTTCAAAGCAGGTATTTTGTATTCTGAGAGAAGCCTCCCACAGAATGGTAACACAGGATCCGGGCCGCGTCCTTGCAGTCGGCCAATCCTCTCACACCAGAAGCGACTTGGAGTTTAAGTCTCTCCTGAGAGGAAAAACAACACCCCTTGTATTGGCTGGCAGCCTGGAGAGAAGGGCTGCTGCTGCAGGGGGCTGCTCTCACCTGAACCGCGGGGAGTCCTTGAGGCCCTCCTCGAAGTCCACGGCGACCCGCATCCCGGCCGCCTTCCTTCCTCTCTTTCCGCTTTTCCGGGGGCAGCGAGCGGGCGGGAGAAGCCGAGGGGCGGGGCTTCCCTGCCCACTTCCTCTTCCCGGCAGCCCCCGCGCTTGGCCCCGCCCATTCACTGAGTTGGCCAATGGAAGCGAGCGCGCGGCGGAGGGGAGGGCTTCCCGCGCGCGGGCCCCGCCCCCGCTTGAAGGGCAGGCCCGCGCGCCAATGGCTGGCGAGGGAGCCCGAGGCGGCCGCCCAATCGCGGGGCGCCACAGCTCTTCCGCTCCCCGCCCCTCCCAGCAGGGCGCCGTTGCCTAGCAACCTGCGGCCTAGCTTCTCAAGAAGGCCTCTTTCAGCCTTTTCCTGAGAGGAAAAACAACCCTTGTATTGGCTGGCAGCCTGGGAGGGGCCCAGGGTGGCAGGGGAGCCTCTCACCTGTTGAGAGGCGACCCCCTTTCACCCCAGGAATATTTAGGGGACTGTTCATGACCCCAGGTGTACCAAAGAGGTGTAAAAACCAAAACATTGTCGCCACTGGCAAGGCATTGGCTGACCAGGCGGGTGGTGTGTTTCTGTGGGGAGAGCCCACTGCAAACAATGCATTTTGCGGCCTACCAGGAGGTGTACCTGGCTGGCCTTCAGGAGCCCTGTCCTGTGAAGTGAGGGCAGGGCCTTTCTCTCACAAGGAGGAGTCCCATGTCCAGATGTTGCCTCTTTGCAGTTCAGTTTGCCCCAGATGTGTCTGGGTTTGCCTGATGCCCATCTTTACGCCTCTTTTGCTGTTTTCCGTTCCTGAGCAGAGAGGAAAGCTACCTCTCTGGGCCTTCGAATGACAGGGCGCTCGGTCCAACCAAGGGGAAGGCGGAGGATCGTAACACCAATGCCAGTGGCCTCTGGTTCTTCTCCAGGTGCTGACATTCGTCCACCTTGTTCGTTCCAAGAGATTTGCAGGATTATCTGGAGGCAACGCTGAGGGGATCATTCCAGAAGTCAAGAGGAACGTTTGTAGAAGGACAACAGTCTGGAGAACAAGCCCTATGAGGAGCGGCTTAAGGAGCTGGTCATGTTTAGCCTGGAGAAGGCTGAGAGGAGATATGATGAGGGCCATGTATAAATATGTGAGAGGAAGCTTCCCTGAAGACTAGGACAATGGCTTCAAACTACAAGAAAGGAGATTCCACCTGAACATGAGGAAGAACTTCCCGACTGTGAGAGCCGTTCAGCAGTGGAGCTCTCTGCCCCAGAGAGTGTGGTGGAGGCTCCTTCTTTGGAGGTTTTTAAACAGAGGCAGGATGGCCATCTGTCAGGGGTGATTTGAATGCAATATTCCTGCTTCTTGGCAGAGGGTTTTGGACTGGCCCAGGAGATCTCTTCCAACTCTAGGATTCTTTGACAAGAAGAGTTGGGAGGCATTGGCTATATGCACAAGCACCTTGGTCTCCCTTCAAGGCCGGCACCCACGACGTAGGAGCCCAGCCTCCAGTTGCTTCCTCTGGGGAAGGAGGGACACAGTGGCACCATGGGCTCTAAAAGCAGTGACAGAGGACCCACCTCCGCCTGAGGAAGAACCTCCTGGCAATGATACCTGCTGTTCGGCAATGGAATAGATTACCTGTTGTAACATGTAACATGATACTGCTGTTTTTAAATTGCTTTTAAATTGTGTTAGATTTTAGCCATTCCTGTAAGCCGCTCCGAGCCCCAGGGGAGTCGCGGCATATAAGTTCAAATAATAAATAAATAAATAAACAAACATGGGAGACCAAGGGGCTTGTTGATAAAGCCATTGTCCTCCCAACCCTGCTATATGCCCGTGAAACGTGGACTGTCTAAAGACGTCACATGCAACTTCTGGAACGATTCCATCAGCGCTGCCTTTGAAAAATCATGCAAATCTCTTGGGAAGACAGGCGGGGAAATGTCAGTGTGCTGGAAGAAGCAAAAACCACCAGCATTGAAGTGATGCTCCTTGGCCATCAACGCCACTGGACCGGCCACATTGTCTGGATGCCCGACCATCGTCTCCCAAAGCAGTTGCTCTACTCCGAATTCAAGAACGGAATGTTGGTGGGCAGGAAAAGAGATTTAAAGGTGAGCTCAAAGCCAACCTTAAAAACTCTGGCATAGACACTGATAACTGGGAAGCCCTGGCCCTTGAGTGCTCCATCTGGAGGTCAGCTGTGATCAGCAGTACTGCAGAATTTGAAGAGGCACAAACGGAGGGCAAAAGACAGAAACGTGCCAAGAGGAAGGCGCGTCAAGCCAACCCCAACCGAGATCGCCTTCTACCTGGAAACCGATGCCCTCACTGTGGGAGAAGATGCAGTTAAAGAATTGGGCTCCACAGTCACCTACGGACCCATCCTGGAGGATTATCCTACTCGGACAATGAGGGATCGCCTAAGTAAGTAAGTAAGATTACCTGGGGGTCTCCTCCCCTGAAGGCCTTGGAACACAGGCTGGGTGACCATTTGCCCTGGGTGCTTGAATGGAGCCTTCCCGCCCGGCAGAAAGAAGGGGGTTGGACTGGATAGCCTTGGAGGGCCCTTCCAACTATATGATCCTAAGATTCCATCCCACCAAAACCAGAGGCAGTTGCAATTCTCCAACTGCCTCAGGGCATAAGAGGGACTGGCAGGCGGGCCCAGTCAAGGGTTTGCCCCTCATTTCAGCTCTTAAAAGGGACCTTCTGCAGAAAGGCTTCCTGGGAGTTCTGGCTGCTGCTGCCTCTCCTCCTCTCAAGCACAGGGACTGCTCACCTGTCCCCCAGGACCAGGCACCCTGCCCAAACCCTGGTGTCTCTCTCTCTACAGGGAGGGAACAACCCAGCCAAGTCTGCAGCCACCAGCCTCAAAGGCTAGTCCCTTGATGCTTTATTGATTGCCAGTAGTCCAAGTGCTGTATCGGTTGCAAAGTAACCTCCACTTCCCAACCTCCACTCCACCCCCCATCGCCAGGGGTCAAGAGGCAAGTGGGAGGGGGAGTGTCTCCCAGGGAGGGGGGTCAAGCCCTCTCCACCAAGACTGCAAGTTCCCAGACCCCAGCCTCTCCCAATAAATGCTAAAGATTTTCCAGGTCTTCTCAGGGGGAAATGCCACAACGGGATGGGAGGAGAGCAAACAGGAGTCCTGCCTGGGGCAATTCAACGCTGCCTCGGCCCTTTGAGACCTTTTCTATGGCTTCCCTCCTCCTCCTTGAATAAAGCTCGATCACTACCCTGCACATATTGTGCTGTCCTTCAAGAGGCAGAGACCAGCATGTCAAGAAAGCCCCCGTTTGACACAAGGATAAAATACCTCAAGGTGTTATTCGGATGCACAACAAGAAGTCACCTTAAAATAGGTCTACACAGTCATACAGAGTTTTGCAAACATACGGAATTTTGACCAAACCAGTGCAGTCAGAAGGAAGACCAAGCCAGCCCCTCCCTTCCTGGCCCGCGGCTTCCCCCCACACAGCCGCTCCTCTCCTCTCCGAGTGAAGCCAACTCCCAGGCTGACAGAGCAGTGCCCAGCAGTCCCAAGGAGGGGCCGGGGGCCTACCCGATCCCCCCTCCCTGAACCCCGGCAGAGTGGCACGGCGATTGAATGCCTCGGGTGGCAGAGAGGCAGACCACAGGGACGGAAAAGAGCCACGGAAGAACAAAAACCAGCTGAGGAGACACATGAAGGAAGCTACACGGCGTATTGGGGTGAGCTCGTGGTTCCCCAGCTCTAACATCCCCAGCACCACCACAAAGGGCCAGAGGAAGCCCCAGCCCCTTGCCTGGTTCAACGCAGCCGCTCTTTCTCACGGAGCCACACTGGAGGCGGTGGGTGCAGGTGGGGAGCGGGTGGCAGAGAGAGGAGGGCAAGGGGAATCTCCCCCTCCTCACGGGAGGGTCTAGCACACCAGCGGCCACAGGGAAGAACAGGAAGCAGGTGGCGCTGGGGGCCTCAGACCTAGAAGAGGAGCCGTGCGAATGAGCCGGGGGGGCCACAGATTTTACACGAAGCTGCCTTCTGAGACCACCGTCTCCGGCCCCTAACAGAAAAGTCTCGATGGCTAATCAACTGCTTTCTTGGCAATACAACAGTGCAAGCGGGCCACTCCGCAGGGTGGGCCACGACGGAGAAGTGTGACTGGAGGAGCCCAAGGGCCTGCTGGCTCTACAGTCCCGAGCAGACCTCTTCCAGGCCGTGTGCCATGCTCTCGAGCGGGTCAGGAGGAGCAGGAGCAGCAGCGGGGACTGCGGGAAAGAGAGAAGAGCGACATGGGTTTCTCACCGGGGACGGGCTGCAGCCCACAAGGCCCCTGCAGCACCACATCACAACACACCAAGGCAGCCGTACCGAAAAGAAAAGGCACCTTCAGGAACACTGCCGTGACAAGGGATAGCACGTTTTACGCAGTGCACATGCAGCAGGGCTGTCCCCTACACACCGTGGGACGCATCAGCGCTCCAGTGCCCAGCAGCAAATTTCAGCCTTGTTAATCACACCCCACCCCCCAAATTCTTCTTGATTCCCCTGAATATCACTGCGCAGGAGACAGGCCCCCCTCTGCCAGGAGGAACCACACACAGATATCTCGCTGAGAAGAAACACTCAAAGGAGAGTAAAAACAGCCTCAGAGTGGACGGCATCTTGCACCAGGTCAAGCAAAAGCCACAAAGGCAGGAGTATTTCCCAATTCTCCAGAATTCTTCACTGGCCTGGAATCTTTCCCATCCTTTTCTTACCCTGGAAGGACCCCCAAATACGTTTCTGGTCTCAAAAAATCCCGGCATAAACATTATTAGGTCTCCCCTTCCCAAAGTGCTAGAAGATCCCAAAAGGGGCAGGGCAAATCTTGCGGGCCAGCAGAAGAGAGACAGAGTGAGGAGGGCGGGGGGGGGGGGGGGGAGAATTAGCTCCAGAGGCAGACTCAAGCAGGGTAGGGCAGAAGGTGAAATGAAGACAGAGCAGCAGGATACGATTCGGTAAACTCAAAAGTGGCAATGGACAGGTGGCAATAACGCAGCAAAATAAGAGGTGCAGCCATACTTAATCCGACCTGTTCCCCCCACTTGTCCCAGAATAACAGCCATTCCTGACCCAGTGGAGGAAGCTTCTTGGAGCTCTGGCAAAGGGGAAGCAGGGCAGGAGGCCAACAGGGAGGATTCCCTCACAGGGTCACCCCTCCCTCAAAGGCTCCCTGAACTGGCCTTGGGAAAGGACAGAGCTCCTAGAGAACAGAAGGCACCCTTCTCCGGCACTAAGCCAATCCCTCCAATGGGTTCCCTCCCTTCTGACACGTGCCAACAGCCAGCTTCCAGGGGCACAGGTCTCCAGGGAGCCACAGGAGCAGGTGGTGGCCAGGTGCCTGTGTGTGTGTGTGCATGTCACCCCCCCCCCCCCCGCATGCTCAACAGACTCCCTACATCTGCCGGCTTTTGAGAGCTGTTCAGCGGTGGAACTCTCTGCCCCAGAGTGTGGTGGAGGCTCTTTCTTTGGAAGCTTTTAAACAAAGGCTGGATGGCCTTCTGTCGGGGGTGCTTTGAATGCAATTTTCCTGCTTCTTGGCAGAATGGGGTTGGACTGAATGGCTCATGAGGTCTCTCTCCAACTCTAGGATTCGATGAGTGGGTTGGGATGGGCCCATGCAGCAGAAGGCCACCACTCAGCCCCTTCCAGTGGAATGCTCCAATACACACATTCTTTTCTAACTTCCTTCAGGACATAAATGTGCTTTCCTGTCCTGGTTCCCAACTGCATCTATTTCTGGCAAATAAGAGTTTGTTTTCAAAGGACCGTGGTTACAAAACTGGAAGTCAGGCTGCTCTGAAAAGGGGACGCTGGCGCAAGGATTCAGGCCCCCCAAATTCCATTGACATGCACTATTCTCAAAATCTCAGAGCAAACTGCTCGGTTTATTCACCAAAAATCACCCCGACGCACATGGAAGGACGGGGCAGGACAAGGGTGGGCCTTGGAGGAGAGGGGTCTCTCTCCCCAAAAGAGGCCCGGAGGGAGGGAGGGAGGGGGAGGGAAGCCCAGCAGGAAGGATGAGGAGGGGGAAGGGGCTCAACGGTAGCTGAAGCAGAAGGAGACATTCCGCCCGCGGGAGGCTGCATCTGGAAATACAAACGCAGGGGTGAGCAGCAAGGGCCAGCGCCTGCCCAAGGAACAGCACTACTCTTGCAAATCCTGGCCGGGGGGGGGGGGGGGGGGTCCCACGGAATACCCAGAGGAAGGGAGAGAAACACACACACATAGATTTCCTTGGGAAAGTGTTTCCCTTTCTGTTTCCTTTCCAAGGGACAGCTGGTTACTCTATGAGTGGGTAGCCCCACGCCCTACAGGAGGGGGGCCTTTTTGGCACGCTGCGCCCAGGAGGCGCTCCCGCCCCCCTTGCAGCCACAAAGACTCTCCTCCAAAAGGGAGCCACGGCCCACGACTGGGAATCAGCGCTCACCAAGCTCTGGGCTCATCCCCCCCAAGTCTGTGGTGTCCCGCATCTCTTCGTCCTCATCCTCATCTTCGTCCTCGTCCTCGTCTTCCTCCTCGTTGCCGCCTCCTCCTCCTTGCAGCTCCTTCGCAATCAGCTGCCGGGCCAGTTTGATGTTCTGGGCTTCGTTGTAATGCATCTTCCTCTTCATTTCAAACTGCCTCTTTTTCTCTGCACAAAACACAGGGCAGAGATTATTATTATTATTATTATCATTAAACTTTATTTGTACCCCGCTACCATCTCCCCAAGGGACTCGGTGCTGAGCCCACAATACAACAATAAAACAATACCAACAATAAAACAATACCAACAATAAAACAATAGCAACAGTAATACAACAATAAATAAATCTCATAAACAGAAAATAGCAATAAACATTAACAATAACACAACAATGTTTAAAAACCTATGGCAGGGCCAAATGTACTAATTAAAAATTTTAAAAATAATGCTGGGCGTGACCAGGTGACATAGAAACAGGACAGAAATTTTGGAGAGGAATAGGGCGTGCAGACAATCCTAGAGATCGCATCACCCCTCGCCCCCCACTCCTCAGACGTACCTGCACCCCACAAAAGACCTGCCAAAGCTGCCCTGGGACCTGAGGCAGGGGCTGAGGGAGGCACACAAGAGGACTCTGAGTGGCAAGGACGGGGGCACGTCGCTACATGCGCAGAGGGCTCGACTGAGAGCCAAGACTTTCCTCAAGGAAGACTTTGCTTTGGGACCAGACAACATTTTGCTTTCACATGGCAGGGGAGAATAGTCAGGCAGGTGGGAGTTATGAGCCTTCCCAGCACACACCATTTGTGTGTGCGCCTTGCAGTGGTGCGCAACTCCCCCCCCCCCAGGGTTTTGGACTTTGGCTCACAGAATTCCTGACCACTGGACAGGCTGGCTAGGGATTCTGAGAGTTGGGGGCCTGAACAGCTGGATGGCCTGACAAAGAAGGCCCTGCACAGAGAGCAAGTAGAAGAGAAGATTGACACAAGCACAGAAATGGATCTCCCCACCTAGGATGGACCTGACCCAAAGGCCAACGGGCGAGTTCCACACAGCTTCTGAAGGGGCCCAGGGGCACATTCTGGCAAGCCCCCACAGGCAGAGCTCCCTGACAGGGGGCAGGCAACTGTGTGCAAAGAGCAGGGACCAGGCTCATGCTGCAAACACTCTGGGCAAGCAGCACACTGACCCCTCCTCTGTGTGGAAGTGCAAGAGTGGGTGCTCTCCCTAGAAACATCCCAGGATCTGGGGGGGGGGGGGTCTAAAGGGGGAACACACTCATCCCAAAACATAGCAGTGAGTTCTGTGACCTCTGCAAAGAGAAACAGGCACATTTCCTCAGGCTACAGAAGTGGAATCACAGCATTTTACTCCCGTGCGCTTCACTGCGCCGCAATGTCCAACGGCCTTTCTTCTTTTGAAAGGAAGAGCCACTGACCTCGTTCCTCCGGGGAGAGCTCTGTATCGTCTTCGTCTTCATCGCTGCTCTCTTCCTGTTGGGCCAAGGCCCTCGGCCCCTTGCCTTCCGCCGCTGCCGCCAACCTGCAGAGAGGGAAGCCGGGCAGAGCTGAGCCTCTCTGGGTCGAACGGGCAAGAGCCCGGCCCCAAGCCCAGAAGAGGTCAAGGCTTCCCTGGCCCGCACCTCTTGCCAGGCAGGGTTTTGGAGCGTGACGGCTCAATTAGTGCACGGACTCAGCGTGGAATCAATGGAAACCTTGTCAGGTGGACCCAGAAAGAGTTGGGAGCCTGTGCTCAAAGCGTCACAATGAAGGGCTGCCCTTTAGGCTGGAAGGAGGAGGGCAGCCCTGGTGAGAAGGCCCCTCCCTTCAGTGTTATAGTCAGTGCCTTCATGACAAGGCTTGGGAGACAGGGAGGAAAGCCTGTTGCGCCTAGGCTGCCAAACAGGGAGGGGCGGCTCTCACGCTGGAAGATGGGAAGAGAATTCCAAAGGACTGCGCCTGCTTTCCAAGAAGACTGTGGAATAGCCTTGTGCAGGGCATTGGACAGCCCTCAAGTGAGCCCTCAGGCTTCAAAAAGAGGATGACAGCCGAGGGAGACTTCTGGCTGGCTGGGCCGGAGGCTGGGTCGAGCGTGGCCTGAGCTGACCACCCCCTACTATTAAAACACTCTCACACTCAATGAACCCTTGACAGAACTTTGATTTCCTGCGGCAAGGCCTTTTTGCTCTTTAAAGTCATAGGCGCTGAGCTCACTTTCAAAATTCAAAGCGGGGGGGGGGGGGGGGAGTCCTTGCTGGGCTGAGTGTGGCCTGCCTCTCCTTGGGGCCCTGAGCCCCACCCTCTCACTGCACCTGCAACTACTCACTTTCGGGCCAGGAGGTCGGCAGTGGGGGTCTCCTGCTCCTCGTCGCTGTGTCCCTCACCCTCCTCATCGACCACCAAGCTGCAAAGAAGGCAAAAAGGGGGGTCTCAGGGAGGGGCTTCCGGGGGGGGGGTTGATCCAAGAAGCACCTCCAGCAAGAGCAGCCCCCCAACACCCACAAAGGGCTCTGCCAGCCCCCAACCCCCTCCCCATCTCCCGCGCATGACCCCAGAGGTCGGGTGGGGGCGCCACCTGTGGTAGGGGGTGCTGGGCTCGTCAATCTTCATGAGGCCGTAGTCCTTCCCAGCCGGGTGGTAGGTGGCCAAGATGTTCATCTCGTCCCACTTGGCAGACTTCTTCCTAAAGGGAAGGAAAAGGGATTGATTGATCCATTGTGTCAGAGGCTCGTGGAGAATGCAGGTATAATGTATAAACAACCACAATCAAAGTTAAAAACTTGTCCTGGTACTAAATGTCCTTTGACCAGTAGCTGGCCACTTGGAGTGCCTCTGGTGTTGCTGGGAGAAGGCCCTCCAGGGTGCATGTGGCAGGGCTCAGGCTGCATTGGAACAAGTGGCCGGGGGTTTGCTCTTCTCCACACTCGCATGTTGTGGACTCCACTTAGTAGCCTTATTTCTTAAGGTTGGCCCTCACGACATATAGGAGGGACCTTTTTTTATCGTGTCAGAAGCCACCTGAGAAACTGCAAGTCGCTTCTGCTGTGAGAGAATTGGCTGTCTGCAAAGACATTGCCCAGGGGACACCCGGATGTGCTACCATCCTGTCTCATGGATTCAAACCACTGACCTTCAGGTCAGCAGTCATGCCACCATGGCAGGAGGGACTTGAAACCATGGCTACTGAAACAGGCTTTTGGCGAGGATTAGCCAATCTCTGTTCTATGGATATACCGCGACTCGGATACCAGGCCACCTTGTAGCTCATAGTAATCACTGTCTTTTTAAATGAATGTTTTAATTGAATATTTTATAATTTTATTACTAAATTGTTGAATTGTGTTGTGGTTTAACTTGTTGGATGTGGTATTCGTTGTTTATTTTGTTTTTATGCATTTTGATATATTATTCATTTTGTGAGCTATCCCGAATCCCCTGGGGAGATTATGTGGCAGGGTATTATTTATTTTATTTATTTAAAACTTTTATACCCCGGTCTTCTCAACCTCTATAGAGGGACTCGGGCCAGCTTACAGCATAAATTAGTACACAAATACAATTAAAAACATAATCACATCAAAAAGTTAAACACAACAGAATAAATACACAAACCAAGTCGCCAAAATAAAATCATGTTATTATTATTATTATTTGATATACAACAAGATGTTGTTGTTGTTCATTCGTTCAGTCGCTTCCGACTCTTCATGACCTCATAGACCCTCACCACCCTCCTTCAAGGTCAAGCCAGTCACCAAGATATTTTTTTTTGTCGTGTCAGGAGTGTCCTGGTGTGAGAGACTTGGCCATCTGCAAGGACATTGCTCAGGGGACGCCTGGATGATTTTGATGTTTTATCATCCTTGTGGGAGGCTTCTCTCATGTCCCTGCATGAGGAGCTGGAGCTGATAGAGGGAGCTCATCCACCTCTCCCCGGATTCGAACCTGCGACCTGTCAGTCTTCAGTCCTGCCGGCACAGAGGTGTATCGGCGAATAATGTGTGCAGATCTGAGTAGGGTGGTCTTTTGCAGCTGGCTATTGGTGATTTTGTCATTGCTAATTGTGTTTAAGTGCAGGCCAAGGTCTTGGGGCACTGCACCCAGTGTGCTGATCCCCACTGGGACCCCCTTGACTGGCTTGTGCCAGAGCCTTTATTATCATAATTATTATTGTGATTATAATTGTAAGGCACAGGTCTGGAGGAGTATAAACAAATATTATTATGGGTTGTTGTAGGTTTTTCTGGGCTCTATGGCGGTGTTCTAGAGGCATTTTCTCCTGACGTTTCGCCTGCATCTATGGCAAGCATCCTCGGAGGTAGTGAGGTCTGTTGGAACTAGGAAAAAGGGTTTATATCTCTGTGGAATAATGACCAGGGTGGGACAAAGGACTCTTGTCTGCTGGAACTAGGGGTGAATGTTTCAATTGACCACCTTAATTAGCATTTGATGGCCTGGGTTGTTGTAGGTTTTTCCGGGCTATATGGCCATGTTCTGGAGGCATTTTCTCCTAACGTTTCACCTGCATCTATGGCAAGCATCCTCAGAGGTAGTGAGGTCTGTTGGAACTAGGAAAAATGGGTTTATATATCTGTGGAATGACCAGGGTGGGACAAAGGACTCTTGTCTGCTGGAGCTAGGTGTGAATGTTTCAACTGACCACCTTGATTAGCATTTGATGGCCTGGTTTGTTGTAGGTTATGGCGATGTTCTAGAGGCATTCTCTCCTGACGTTTCGCCTGCATCTATGGCAAGCATCCTCAGAGGTAGTGAGGTCTGTTGGAAATAGGGAAAAGGGTTTATATAGAATCAAAGAGTTGGAAGAGACCTCATGGGCCATCATCCAGTCCAACCCCATTCTGCCAAGAAGCAGGAATATTGCATTCAAATCACCCTGACAGATGGCCATCCAGCCTCTGTTTAAAAGCTTCCAAAGAAGGAGCCTCCACCACACTCCGGGGCAGAGAGTTCCACTGCTGAATGGCTTTCACAGTCAAGAAGTTCTTCCTCATGTTCAGATGGAATCTCCTCTCTTGTAGTTTGAAGCCATTGTCCCTGCGTCCTAGTCTCCAGGGAAGCAGAAAACAAGCTTGCTCCCTCCTCCTCCCTGTGGCTTCCTCTCACATATTTATACATGGCCTCATCATATCTCCTCTCAGCCTTTTCTTCTTCAGGCTAAACATGCCCAGCTCCTTAAGCCGCTCCTCATAGGGCTTGTTCTCCAGACCCTTGATCATTTTAGTCGCCCTCCTCTGGACACATTCCAGCTTAGAGTCAATATCTCTCTTGAATTGTGGTGCCCAGAATTGGACACAATATTCCAGGTGTGGTCTAACCAAAGCGGAATAGAGCATGGGGAGCATTACTTCCTTAGATCTAGACACTAGGCTCCTCTTGATGCAGGCCAAAATCCCATTGGCTTTTTTTGCCACCACATCACATTCCTGGCTCATGTTTAACTTGTTGTCCACGAGGACTCCAAGATCTTTGTGGAATAATGACCAGGGTGGGACAAAGGACTCTTGTCTGCTGGGGCTAGGGGTGAATGTTTCAACTGACCGCCTTGATTAGCATTTGATGGCTTGGAAGTGCCTGGGGGAATCTTTTGCTGAGAGTGATGTGATATTATTATGTTTCCGATGATGATGATGATGATGATGAAGAAGAAGCAGAGGCCACGCCCAGTCCCCCGCCCCCTTCCCCCGCTCACCCTTCAGCGCTGGGGCGTGCCTCCATCTGGCGGGCGCGCTTCTCGGCCTCGTCGGCCTCCCTCCCGCGGTGCAGGCTGGCCCGGGACGGGGAGGCCAGGCCCAGGCCGGAGCCCGAGCCCACGCCCGAGCCCACTCCGGCGCCGAGGCCCATCCCGGAGATGCTGGAGGGGTTCTTGAGGATGCCCTTCACGGGCCGGCCGCCCCCCGAGGACGACAGCGACGAGGACGGGGAGCCCTTCGTCTCCATCGCCGGGCGCCCCTTCCCCCTCCCCGCCCGCCCGCCCTCCTTCTCTGCCCTCCTCCGCTCTGCTCTACTCCAGGCTTGGCTTCCCTTCCGCCTCACAGGCCGCAACCGCCGCCTCACTGGGAGCCCACTGCGCACGCGCAAGGAGGGAGGGAGAGGGGGCGGTGACGTCACAAGGGAGGGGCGGGGCGCGTGGTGTGTGGATGATGAAGAGGCCCAGCCGAAGAAGGAAGGAAGGAAGGAAGCCCCGCCCCCCGCGCATGCGCCTCATCTCCCCTTCCCCGGAAGGGCCCCGCCCCGCCCCCAAAATGGCCGCCCTCCATTGTTGTTGTTGTTCATTCGTTCAGTCGACTCTTCGTGACCTCCTGGACCAGCCCACGCCAGAGCTCCCTGTCGGCCGTCACCACCCCCAGCTCCTTCAAGGTCAGTCCAGTCCCTTCAAGGATGCCATCCATCCATCTTGCCCTTGGTCGGCCCCTCTTCCTTTTGCCTTCCACTTTCCCCAGCATCATTCCCTTCTCTAGGCTTTGCTGTCTCCTCATGATGTGGCATTCAAAGGACTTCCGCTTTCCCTCTAGTCTCCTTCCCTCCAGTGAGCAGTCGGGCTTTCTTTCCTGGAGGATGGACTGGTTGGATCTTCTCGCAGTCCAAGGCACTCTCAGAACTTTCCTCCAACACCACAGCTCAAAAGCATCTCTCTTCCTTCGCTCAGCCTTCCCTAAGGTCCAGCTCTCACATCCGTAGGTGCCTACAGGGAGACCATGGCTTTGACTAGGCAATGGATCTTGGTTGCCAGTCTGATGTCTCTGCTCTTTACTATTCTATCGAGACTGGACATTGCTCTCCTCCCAAGAAGGAAGCGTCTTCTGATAGAATCATAGAATCCAAGAGTTGGAAGAGACCTCATGGGCCATCCAGTCCAACCCCATTCTGCCAAGAAGCAGGAATATTGCATTCAAAGCAACCCCTGACAGATGGCCATCCAGCCTCTGTTTAAAAGCTTCCAAAGAAGGAGCCTCACCACACTCCGGGGCAGAGAGTTCCACTGCTGAACAGCTCTCACAGTCAGGAATCATAGAATTTGGAAGAGACCTTGTGGGCCATCCAGTCCAACCCCCTGCCAAGAAGCAGGAAAATTGCATTCAAAGCACCCCTGACAGATGGCCATCCAGCCTCTGTTTAAAGCTTCCAAAGAAGGAGCCTCCACCACACTCCGGGGCAGAGAGTTCCACTGCTGAACGGCTCTCACAGTCAGGAAGTTCTTCCTCATGTTCAGATGGAATCTCCTCTCTTGTAGTTTGAAGCCATTCCTCCATGGCGTCCTAGTCTCCAGGGAAGCAGAAAGGAAGCTTGCTCCCTCCTCCTCCCTGTGGCTTCCTCTCACATATTGATACATGGCTATCATCATATCTCCACTCAGCCTTCTCTTCTTCAGGCTAAACATGCCCAGCTCCTTAAGCCGCTCCTCATAGGGCTTGTTCTCCAGACCCTTGATCATTTTAGTCGCTCTCCTCTGGACACATTCCAGCTTAGAGTCAATATCTCTCTTGAATTGTGGTGCCCAGAATTGGACACAATATTCCAGGTGTGGTCTAACCAAAGCGGAAAAGAGCATGGGGAGCAGGACTTCCCTAGATCTAGACACTAAGCTCCCCTCACATGCAAAGCCCAGATCTCCTCCTTGCCTCTGAACTAGGCTATACGAGTCAACACCAGGCCTGGGCCAACTTGGGCCTTCTCTCCAGGGGGTTTGGACTCCAACTCCCCACAATTCCTAACAGCCGAGAGAGGGAGGGCCCAGGCCTGGTCTGTCCTGCTGGCCCCTCCTCAGAGGCACAGCTTTGGGGGGGGGGCGGGGGGGAATTGGAGAAAACAAATGATTAGACTTATCAAGAAACACCCTCCACATATGTCATTCTTCTGTTAGAAATTCACAACCTCCTCAAGCCAGCCTGGCAAAGGTATCCATGCCCAGCCCCCCCCCCCCCCGCATGGCCTGCCCCACATGTGGGTATATTAATGGGGCAGGGGGGGAATACCCCCTGCAGTGCCGGGTCTGCCAATGGGCAGAAGCACCCAAGGACTTTGAAGCGCACAATGCAGCAGCCAGGTGGGCACCAGGTGTGCAGCTCAGGGCCATAGGAGGCCAGTACTGTAAGAACTACCGGGGCTCCTGGGCTGCTTCTGAGCTCCCTTCAAGGTCCTGGCGTTGACCAAGATATCGTATAAATCTACCAGAGGTGCTGGATCTTTAGGGGAGAGGGTCCCAAGGTCAGGCCGAGGTCCATTGGTGGGTCCAGGGCAGGGGCCACCTCTTGCAGCCCTGCTCTCTTGCACAAACACACACACACCGCCTGCCTCTTTGGAGCTCCCAACAGGCAGCTCTGCATTCCACCCATAGAATCCTTGACTTGGCCACAGTAGTCCACGCTCTGGTTACATCCCGCATAGATTACTGCAACGCGCTCTACGTGGGGTTGCCTTTGAAGACGGCTCGGAAGCTTCAAATGGTCCAGCGTGCAGCAGCCAGGTTGCTAACAGGAGCGGCGCTCAGGGAGCACACAACTCCTCTGCTGCGCCAGCTCCACTGGCTGCCAGTTTGCTACCGGGCCCAATTCAAAGTGCTGGCTTTAGCCTATAAAGCCCTAAATGGTTCTGGCCCAGCCTACCTATCCGAACGCATCTCTTCCTACGAACCCTCCAGGAAGTTAAGATCATCTGAGGAGGCCCTGCTCTCGATCCCGTCTGCTTCGCAAGCACGCTTGGCGGGGACGAGAGACAGGGCCTTCTCTGTGGTGGCCCCTCGGCTGTGGAACTCCCTGCCTAGGGATATTAGATCAGCCCCCTCCCTCCTGACCTTTCGTAAGAGAGTGAAAACCTGGCTCTTCGAGCAGGCATTCGGAACCCCGGAATAGTCAAGCTTGAGATGGAGAATGACCCAGGAACGGCCAAGACGATGAAACGGATGAGGATTGGAATGAGAGGATATCGCTCTTTTTAAATTGTTATTGCACTGTCTTTTTTGTCTAAATGCACTTAATTGTTTTTGCTGTTGTATTGTATTGATGGCATCGAATTGTGCCAATATGTAGACCGCCCTGAGTCAGCCTCTGCTTAATAATAATAATAATAATAATAATAATAATAATAATAGAATCCTAGAGTTGGAAGAGACCTCCTGGGCCATCATCCAGTCCAACCCCATTCTGCCAAGAAGCAGGAATATTGCATTCAAATCACCCCTGGCAGATGGCCATCCAGCCTCATAGAATCCTAGAGTTGGAAGAGACCTCCTGGGCCATCCTCCAGTCCAACCCCATTCTGCCAAGAAGCAGGAATATTGCATTCAAAGCACCCCTGACAGATGGCCATCCAGCCTCTGCTTAAAAGCCTCCAAAGAAGGAGCCTCCACCACACGCCCTCCGGGGCAGAGAGTTCCACTGCTGAACGGCTCTCACAGTCAGGAAGTTCTTCCTCATGTTCAGATGGAATCTCCTCTCTTGTAGTTTGAAGCCATTGTTCTGTGTCCTAGTCTCCAGGGAAGCAGAAAACAAGCTTGCTCCCTCCTCCCTGTGGCTTCCTCTCACATATTTATACATGGCTATCAATCTCCTCTCAGCCTTCTCTTCTTGCTAACAGTGAGAGGCTGGATGGCCATCTGTCAGGGGGCTTTGAATGCAATATTCCTGCTTCTTGGCAGAATGGGGTTGGACTGGATGATGGCCCATGAGGTCTCTTCCAACTCTAGGATTCTAAGATTCCATGATTTTAATGAAGTGTTGTGTGGTTTCCGGGCTGTACGACCAATGTGTTCCAGCAGCATTTTCTTCTGACCTTTCACCTGCACCTGTGGCTGGCATTATTATTTTAATGAGTTTATGAAATGTTTCTCCCTTTGAATTATTATATTTTCATGCATGGCCTTGGAAGCCCTCATGGACCGGGAGGAGATTCGAAAGTTGGGTGAGGAGAGATGTGAGAAGGTTGAGTGGAGACATGATCACCATGTGCAGATATGTGGAAGGATGTCATAAGGAAAAGGGAACCGGCTTGTTTTCTGTTGCCCTGGAAACTAGGACTCAACAGAGCCATGGCTTAACATTACAGGGGAAGAGAATCCACCTGGACATTAGGAAGAATTTACTGACTGTGAGAAGAACTGTTCAGCAGTAGAACAGAAAGTGCGGTGGAAACTCCTTCCTTGTAAGGTTTTAAACAGAGGCTGGCTGGCCACCTGTCAGGGGTGCCTTGATTGTGCTGTTCCTGCCTGGCAGAAGGGGGTTGGACTGGGTGGCCCTTGGGGGCCCCTTTCAACTTTAGTAAGAAAATACTCATTCATCTGAGTGCAAGAAACAGGAAAAATCAGAGGAGGGAGCTAGGCCCCCTCCGCCTGCAGGAGTGAATAACAACTCTAAGGAGCCTCCTGTCTGGAGTGCTACCTCTCTGCTGGCAAGGTGGCTTTTCTGGAGAGCAAAACACATGGGTGGTGGTGCCACTTCTCCTCTTTAGGGGGTGCTGTGGCTCCAGCAGAGGCTTCGCACTCAGGTGCTCAGAGTCCCAGCCACTCATTGCCTGAAAGGGCCCAAGGCAGGCAGAGGCACCAGGCCACTCCACCCTCCCTTTGGACGTTTGGGCCCTCCCTGCTGGGCATAGGCAGCACGGCCCTTCCTCTCAGAATGAAGGAGAGCCTTTTCTAGAGTCAGGGATCGTGCACAGGTAGCAAGAGGGGGCCCCTTGGAAGGAAGTAATGCTACCCCGCTATTCTGCTTTGGTTAGACCACATCTGGAATATTGTGTCCAATTCTGGGCACCACAATTCAAGAGAGATATTGACAAGCTGGAAATGTGTCCAGAGGAGGGCGACTAAAATGATCAAGGGTCTGGAGAACAAGCCCTATGAGGAGCGGCTTAAGGAGCTGGGCATGTTTAGCCTGAAGAAGAGAAGGCTGAGAGGAGATATGATAGCCATGTGTAAATATGTGAGAGGAAGCCACAGGGAGGAGGAGGGAGCAAGCTTGTTTTCTGCTTCCCTGGAGACTAGGACGAAACAATGGCTTCAAACTACAAGAGAGGAGATTCCATCTGAACATGAGGAAGAACTTCCTGACTGTGAGAGCCGTTCAGCAGTGGAACTCTCTGCCCCGGGGTGTGGTGGAGGCTCCTTCTTTGGAAGCTTTTAAGCAGAGGCTGGATGGCCATCTGTCAGGGGTGATTTGAATGCAATATTCCTGCTTCTTGGCAGAATGGGGTTGGACTGGATGGCCCATGAGGTCTCTTCCAACTCTAGGATTCTATGATTCTATGAGGGCACACACTATTGGGTGAACTGGCCGCTATTTCTGCCGCATGGAAGGCAAACCACCTCCTCGTTTGAGGGAGGGCTGTGCTGTGGCCCCTTGAAGCCCACCCACCCCAAGGGGCCACAGGTTTCATGTCAAGGTAGTCAAGGATACACCTCAGTGCACAACTTATTGGGGTGCCCCTCCCACACATACAGCCAAGAGAGGAAACCCAGAAGCAGAAGAAATCCAGCAGAACGATGCAAACTGCTTGCCTGGCGGAGTTTATTATTCTAAGCAGAAAAGCCGAAGGTTTCCCGGAAGAGCACTTGGTCCGTAGCTTTGCCCAGGAAGGGCATGGCGTGGCTGCCCAGTGGGTTCCAGCCCTCTGCCCTCCATGGCGCCACAGAGGCAGCATCGGCACAGAAACCCCAGGCAGCCGCCTTCGGCTCATCTGGGCCAGATGTGGTCTTGGAAGCAACAGCTGGAAAAGAGGCCTCACAAAGCAACAGGGGCACAAATTTGTATTCCCCCCTTTCCTTCCTTCCCTCCTTCCTTCCTGTCATTCCTTTGCCCTTTCCTTCTTCCTTCCATCCATCTATCCTTCCTCTCCATCTTTCCTTTGTTCCTTGCCTCCCCTCCTTCCTTGCCATCCTTTAACCCTTCCGTCCATTCTTCCGTCCTTTTCCCCTCCCAACAGGTACCATGCCGTAAGCATTGCTATTTAGCACAAGGAAGCAAGAAAGCCCGTCTGTCCGTGTGTCCAGGTGTCCTTTGGTCCAGCCTTGGTCCCCTTGCGAGGGCTACATGTCAGGGGGACAGTCCGTCTGGTCGGTGGGCCGCATCCGTGACGTGTCGATGTCGTAGGACTGGAGGATGTTCTTCAGGTGGTCCACAGTCTCCGGGTGCAGCTCGGGCGTCCGGGACATGATCCAGGCGTAATCCACGTGGAAGAGCCACATGAAGGTGCTGCAGGAGTAGACCAGGGCGTAGTTCTCGTAGTCGGTGGAGATGACCCAGTAAGGGGCTGCCGGCATGACTGTGGGGGAGGAAAAGAAGGAAGGAAGGAAGGACAGAGAGTGGGTCTCCCAGGGGAGGGGCAGGATTCATGCCCGCAGAGGGTCCGCTTACCAGGGGCACAGCCAAAGGGGAGCTACAGCCAGCATGTCAGAACCCAGTCCCTGCAGCCTCCTTTCTGATAGACATTGGTTCTTTGTCCATCAGTCACGAAAATATCATTGCAGAGTTGATCAATGTGAATTTAATATATGTGTGGGAATGAATGGAAGGATGTATGGATGGAACTAATACTTTTTTGAAACATCAGTAAAATATTAAGGCCTGCAATGACTAACTACCTGCTTCCTGGACTGTAATTTAAAGTTGCTAATAAGAACTGAAAAGTAAACTGATAAGAGCTGGACAGTGATAAGATAAATGTTTACAATGTTAAGAAGGAAGTCAACATAAGATCCACGCCAATCAAGAAGAATCAACATCTGGCCAGAAAATTGAGATGGAACCAGAATGGAAGACGACTATCATCAATTTACAACTTTGGGATGACATCAGCAGAATATTCCTATAAAAGACTCGATCTAATAATGCTCAAAGTGTGGCAGACCTGAGGAGTATGTTCCACCTGACATGCTCTGCTCCAAGGGAAGGAGATGGTGTATTTGGAGAGTGTCAGATATGCTCTGGGAAAGCAGGATTGTGTACACTTTGGGGCTTCTTTCTCAAGGGAAGAGGAAAAAGTGCGCTTTTGGAGTCTTAGATTTTGTGCAGGGAGTCAGGTTCTGCTGTAGGGAAAACTCAGATCTGGTCCTTGGCATTGTGCTTAGGGAAAGAAGTTTTGGCATTTCGACGTTTTGAAGTTTTGGCGTTATGGAAGTTTTGGAACTATGCATTGGCGGGCTGCAGGAAATCAGGATCTGACCGAACAGGCGCTTCTCCAAGGAGGGACAAAAAGATATGGTAATATTTGGATGCATGTGGATGAATGCGTATACAGGTGTGTGCATGGTGATTGAAAATGTAATTCCCCTTTGTTTGTTTGTTAACCAATGTAATTGTAAATCCAATGTAGTTGCATAGAATCTGTATGTCTGTATGTCCAATGTCATTCTTTTAAGTTCTGTAATCTGATATGCCCTCTCACTCTGGAAATTGCAATAAAAAGAACCTATGCTTTAAAGTTTGTTGTTCAGTTGTTTCCGACTCTTCATGACCTCATGGATCAGTCCACACCAGAGCTCCCTGTTGGCCGTCACCACCCCCAGCTCCTTCAAGGTCAATCCAGTCACTTCAAGGATGCCACCCATCCATCTTGCCCTTGGTTGGCCCCTCTTCCTTTTTCCTTTAAAGTTATTGAAAAGCTGAAGGCTTTCATGGTCGGAATCACTGGGTTGTTGTAGGTTTTTTTGGGCTATATAGTGAGGTGCCTCTGAGGATGCTTGCTATAGATGCCGGCGGAACGTCAGGAGAAAATGCCTTTAGAACATGGCCATATAGCTTGAAAAAACCTACAACAACCTATTGAAAAGTTATTCACGACAAATTAATGTCAGAAGTGGGATATTCTTTTCCAATGTGGGAAAGTGATTCATAACACATCCATGTCTCTTGATAGGGCACCACGGCCAGGTATGTGGGGCCCTTGCTCACTGGCCAGCATGGAGAAGCCAAGGAGGAGTCTCCTCAGACTGATTGGGTGGCCGTCTGTCAAGAGGACTGAAGTTGCATGTTCAGTGGCAGAAAGCTGCTGGGCTGGATGGCCTTGGGACTCGAAGGCATCCCACAGAAGGAGGGGAGGACTCCTGGCTGTCCATGCGTCCAGGGCAAAGGTCCTCCGTCCCTCCTTCCACAGTTCGTTAATTGGGGCCATCCTCTGGGGAGTTGGCAGGAGTCCAGGGAAGGGGGCAGAAGGGCCTCTCTCCAGCGACTGGAAGGAGATGCCCTCCCTGAGGGCCACTTCCCCCTCCTGGACACCTTCCTTCCTTCCTTCTTGCCATCTAGAGCTGCCAACCAGACCAGTCTCGCAGCTGAGTTTGCTGAATGAGGCCTGTTCAGGCGGAGAGGAACTGCAAAGCAGCCAAGAATGGCTCCAGAGTTTGCTGACTGAGGCTGGAAGGAAATCTGCACTATCCACACCAAGGGGGTTTGAAGTCAGGGTGAGCCAATGCTTGATTTGGAAAGGCATTGCGGGTTGGAGGAGACCCCCAAGGGGCATCCAGCTTAGCCCCATTCCATCACAGAGGAGGGCACCCTCCGAGCCCTCCTGGCAGATGCTCTCTGTGAGGCCTCCCAGAGTCTGATAGGAACAAGAAGCGCAACACAAACATTGGCACAGGCAGAGGGGACTTACACCAGTTGAACTTGACGTGCAGCTTGGCTGGTTCCTGGAGGTTTCCGTGGAAGGCCTCTCCCTCGATCTCGTTGACGGTGCCGTCCATGCTGGAAGGGAGTGGGATGTGCCCTGCGGTCAGGAGTGGCCCGATGCCCAGGAGGACGTGCTCCAGTGCCTCCCCCCCCCTCGGCCCTCTCCGCCTCCCCCCAATTGCCAGAGAAGAGCAGCCTCTTACTGAATCTCTTTGTTGACCACTCTCACTTTCCCGTTTTCCTTCAGGGAGTAATTGGCCTGGATGCAGTTGCCCTTCTCGAAGTTGGATGGCAGCTTCTCAATTTCGTACCATTTGCCTAAATACTGAGAGAGGGAGAGAAGGCGGTGCCCCTTCTGTGGGTGCCCAGCATGATCCGCATGACCCTCCCTCCTGCCCTGCCCAGCACTTGGACCAGGCCGGTGCCTTCATTGCCACCCCCCACCACCACCACCATCAGGACATGGCAAGGCATGGCCTGCTGACTCCTGAGTGCCAGTCCTGCCAAGGGAGCGCTAGCAGCGCTGTCCTACCTTGTGCATGTCAAACACCTCCTGGACCGGGGGGTCCGGGCACTTCCCCATGTGGAAGGTCTGGGCGTGGGTCATGCCCAAGAAGAGATGGAGCAGGAGGAAGGGCAGCAGCCCCAAATGGCCCCAAGTGGAGGAGGGCATGGCGGCAGGAATGGAAGGACGCTCTCCTGGGGAGAAAGAGGGGGCCAATGAGTTGTGTCAGTAAGTGGCATTTGCACAGCTGTGTTGTCGCACACTGACCTGGTTGCAAAGAGAGAACTTTGAGGAGGATCTGGCTTCACTTGGTGTCTCAGTGTCACCTGTTGCAAACGTCTATGGTTTTTCTTTGCTTGTGGCCACACTTCAGAAAGGAACACACACTTTAAAAAGGAACCTGTGTTGGATGGGGTCGCACTCCCCCTGAAGATGCAGGTTCGCAGTTTGGGTGTGATCCTGGACTCATCGCTGAGCCTGGAACCTCAGGTTTCGACGGTGACCAGGGGAGCATTTGCACAGTTAAAACTTGTGCGCCAACTGCGCCCGTACCTTGGGAAGTCTGACTTGGCCACGGTAGTCCACGCTCTGGTTACATCCCGTCTTGACTACTGCAACGCTCTCTACGTGGGGTTGCCTTTGAAGACGGCTCGGAAGCTCCAATTAGTCCAACGCTCGGCAGCCATGATACTAACAGGAGCGGGGCGCAGGGAGCATACAACTCCTCTGCTGCACCAGCTCCACTGGCTGCCGATTTGCTACCGGGCTCAATTCAAAGTGCTGGCGTTGGCCTTTAAAGCCCTAAACGGTTCTGGCCCAACCTACCTATCCGAACGTATCTCTGCCTATCAGCCCGCCAGGACCCTAAGATCTTCTGGGGAGGCCCTGCTCTCTATCCCGCCTGCTTCACAGGTGCGGCTGGCGGGGACGAGAGACAGGGCCTTTTCTGTGGTGGCCCCCGGCTGTGGAACGCCCTTCCTATGGAGGTAAGATCAGCCCCCTCGCTAATGGTGTTCCGAAGAAGATTAAAAACTTGGATGTTTGAACGGGCATTCGGTTAAACAGTGCAATGAATGTGATGATTACAGGAATGGAAATTTGGACGACGGATTGGATCATGACTCTAGTTATGAGATGCATTGTGTTGTCTATTGTTGTGTCAATATTGTATATTATGCTTTTATGGTTTTAAATTGTATATCGTTGATTGATTCTTATCCTTGTTGTAAACCGCGTTGAGTCGCCTGTTGGGCTGAGAAACTGCGGTATACAAGTAAATAAATAAATAAATAAACCTTGTCCAGCAGCCTGTCACAAATATTCAGGCCATTCAGAACACTGACCCATTGCTGCCCAAAGGCTGATTTTGGGATGGAAAGCAGATGAGGAGAAGAGCCCAGCCCTCGTTCATGGAAATGGGGGCTGGCCTCCTTGCCTTCTCTTTTGCTGCCGGCCCTTCTTCCTGTGTAACCGATGGATGGAGTGCCATGAGGGACCAAAGGCAGGCTCCTTCTCTGGCCTGGCTGACCACTGCCCTGCCAGACCTTCCCCTCTAGACAGGGGCTACCTTAGGAAGAGCTCTTTGCTGCCACCTGGGTGGGGGCTGCTCAGGGAGGAAGCATTATTCTCCCATAACCACCCCCATAGTAATAGAAGATGGAGACTTAATGGGGGTTGGAATGGGGGTCAGACAGAATAGCAGGGGAATCCCCCCCCCCCAACCCATTCTTCAGCTCTAGGCATCCTACAGAGAGTAGTGAGCCTCCCACCAGCTTGCCTTGGAGCGGCCCCCAAAGCAGCACCAACAGGCTCTCCCCAGGAGCAGAGGGACTGCTGGGTCCTGCCTACCTGGCCGGGCGTGGTCTTCTCCCTGCCGAGACACACGTCTCCCAGTGATCTGCAGCCCGTGTTCCCTGCCTCCTCTCCCGGCATCTGCCCTCCTTTTATGATCCTCTGCCACTCCCTTCCCCTTTTGGGGGCAGTTGCCCCTTCTGCCTCGTTGCTCAGGGGACACGGGAGGTGCTGGTGCCAAGACGGTGCCAAGCACACCAGTCATCTGCCAGGATGCAAATGCCTGCCAAGAGGAAGCCCGGTTCCTCCTTCCTCCTTTGGCCTCCTCTTGAATGAATGTGCCATTTCAAAGGGGCGGTGGAGCTGCTCCTCTATACCAAGTGGCCACGTCTTCAAAGAAACACCACAACACCTGAAGCGCCGCGACAACAGCTTGCTCATTGCAAGGTACTCTGTGCCCCCCTACCCCGCTCCAGTGCTGCCTTCTGTGGCTCTCCCCCCGTTCTGTCTCACTGTCCAAATGGATCCTGTCACTCCAAACTCACAGAACCATCCCTGGTCCTTTCCTGTCTAGGTGTCCCTTTCCTCCTGTGTTTGGGAACGAAACCCCTCCTTAGAAACACTCCCAATGTGTAGGTTCTTGTGGGGGTTTTTCGGGCTATAGAGCCATGTTCTAGAGGCATTTCTCCTGACGTTTCGCCTGCATCTATGGCAAGCATCCTCAGAGGTTGTGAGGTCCCAATGTGTTCCTCCTCCAGGACAATCTGCTCTCTCCAGGGATGACACCTGCTTCCAAATACATTGCACAGCAGATGCAAGGATTCCGAGCTCCTGGACTTTCTCTTCCAAGGAGGCACCAACCTGCCCTTGATGCAAGTATTGCCATCCACATCCTTCAGCAAGACTACATATTAACTCTTGTGGTGGTGCCCTCACTATCAATGTTCCATAGCCTTATGTAATACTGAAACTGGACCCCAAGTGTCCACCTCAAAAGTCCCCAGCTCAACTCTCCTACAAGATGTCCATGGACCTTCCTTGTCCGCTGATCTCCAATACACTGAGTTCCATGAACGGGGGTTGCAGCAGTATAGAGAGCTAATGCCTAGCCATATGTCCTATCAGCAGAAGTCCCACCTTCCTGAGACCATGCGCTGAAGCAGAGACCCCTAGGCTACATAGAACACCAGAACCCTAACGAGGAATCAAGCAAGCAAGCAGTCAAGCTTCTACTCACATAGAAAGCAGCCTTAATAACTCTGCAACACACACCCTGACATTCTGTGAGGCTGGGAAGGTTGAACCCAGCAGGAGCACGCTCACCTTCTGCCGTCTCTTCCACCAAAGCCACGGAAGATGCCCCGTTGGCCTTCTCTACGAGCGCAGCTCCTGTAGGCCGAGGTCCAGGGCCTGGGGCTGCAGCTATATAGAGGGCGAGTACCTTCTGACTCACTTCCTCTCATCAGCACATGCCTCCTTTCTTCAGGCCACGTGTGCAGGTGGAGGCCCTGGGGCTGCCCACTCAATAGGACAACCCTAAGGAGCCCTCAAATGCCCCCACTCAGCTCCCACTCAGTCAGCTTCATCGCAACAAACATAATGGCTTTAACCCAACAAACTCTCTCAAAGGGTTCTTGGGGGACAGGAAGGCTTAGTCAAAAAGACACATGCTTACCTTACACAGCCTTTTCTAATGCACCCCAGAAACACTCCAGTGGCCTGCCCAGTCACCCAAAAGCTGCATGCCAAGCTCCAGAGAGATTGTGCTTTGCTTCTGCTTGTTAGGTCCCTCTATTGCTGTATTACAATATTGAGACTCATCCCACCAGTTTTCAAAGATACATATTATAGTATCATATTTGCTTTGCTGTGTCAAGAGTTCAAGTTCATCTTATTTCCCGTGCTCTCTGCATTCATGCGGAGCTGCCTTGGACCATGGCAGCTGCTCATTTAAGCTTCTTCCCCTTCCATTGCTGAGTTCTCGTAGCATTCACCCAGTTCTCCCTATGATGGTTGGCTGGGATATCCAGGCCTTGGTGTCCTGCCCTCAGGAATACTCTCTCCCTTCTCCGACTACTCTTTGGAAGGCAACAGGCTGAGCACTCATCTCCTGAGGATCCCAGCTCCCACCAAGGGCCACCTTTCACTCTGTCCAGGGACTCGGACCCTAAAGGCCCTCCTTGAGGTGCAGGGCCCCACCCTCAACAGTCTCTTACACCACCCTTCCCCTCATGCTCCTCCTGCACAAAAACACAACACGGACCAAGGGGAGGGCCTCCCTCGTCCAGGGCTGTGATACACAGAAGGACGGGCAGTGTTGCTGCTGCCGCCATGGGGACCCCAAGTGCGAGGAACTCCCTTGAGAAGGGTTCCCACCAGACTCCCAGATCACACCTGGGGCTCTGGCGGGATGTATGCATCAGCAGGGAGGTCCAAAGCTTGGGCAGAAGGTAAGCATCAGGTGCTGCCAGCAGCCTCCCTGGCTGTCGTTTGAAGTCAGCATCAATCTGTCCACACTGCAAGCCAAATCAGACAGGTTCAGGAAAGCCAGCACACGTCTCCACCTGCCTGTTCTTCCTGGTGAGTTTGTGCGTCAAGGTGTGCCCAGGTGGCAGGTGCGACCCTCTGCAGGGAGGGGAGGGGGTCCGAAGGGCAAGGGGGCTCATTTGAGGCGGGCCGCAGGGAAGTGGGAGACCTCCTCTGCTGTTTCATGGCGCAGTGTGCAGTGAGGCCCTTGTTGCCACGCCATGTTTCCCCCACCTGCTTTCCTTTACCTTTCGGCCAGATGAGACCCCATCCAGGGCAGGGCCTGAGTCGCACGGCCCTTGACCAATGAAGGCCACCGGGATAGCTCTCTCCGTCTCCGTCAACAATGGCCTTTGCCTGGAGGGTTAGGGCACCTGGTTGGCCAGGTCCTTGGCTGTGCACCTGGGATTTTAGGCCACCTGAGGAAGGATGAAGTGCAATTATCAGTGTGATTAGTCCATTCTGCAAAACAAGTCGCCTGCTATTAAATCTTTCTGGGTGATGCGGAAACAACAATATGGTCACGCTCCTTCTGAGCAAGAGCACCAGGCATGTGTATCTGCGTGAGTGTGTGTGCATGGGGTGCAGGGTGGAGTTCAGCACACACCCCAGTTTTGGAGAGGAAACCCATGGCCAGAATCACGGGTGTTGTGTGGGTTCCAGGCTATATGGCCGTGTTTGGCACCAAATGCACCTAGAACACAGCCATACAGACCGGAAAGCACACAACACCCCAAATTAATCATTTCCCTACAAGTCGAAAGAGAGAGGAGGTGGCGATGAGCTTCCAGAATTCAAAACGATCTTGACAGATTGGAGAGATGAAGGGCCAAAACTAACCAAATGAAGTTCAACAGGGACAAATGCAAGATACTCCACTTCGGCAGGAAAAACAAAATGCAAAGAGACAGAATGGGGGACGATGAGGCCTGGCTCGAGAACAGTACGTGTGAAAAAGATCTTGGAGTTCTCGTGGGGAGGAAGGGGAACAGGAGCCAGGAATGTGATGTGGCGGCAAAAAAAGCCAATGGGAGTTTGGCCTCAGGCATCAAGAGGAGCATAGTGTCTGGATCCAGGGAAGTCCTGCTCCCCATGCTCTATTCCGCTTTGGTTAGACCACTTTACCTGGAATATTGTGTCC